ACACACACACACACACACACACACACACACACACACACACACCGCGGTGCGAACGTACCTTGTCTGTGCAATGCTGAGGGCACGGGCAGGCCCACGCAGCACCCACGCTCCCAATCCACCGCTCACCACCATCTTGGGTTGGTTGTTGTTGCACGCACACAAGCAAGAGAGGGGAGGTGTGTTGTGTTGCACGCACGAATGAATGCGTGCAGCGTGCGGTTTGGAGGAAAAACACACAAACACACACAAGCGAAGGAAGGAAGAGGAAAGGAAAGGAAGGACCACAGAACAAGCACACGCGCAGACAGTGAACGGACATCATGCTGGCGATCCTGATGACGCGAGGAGCCGTGCGGCGGGCAGTCAGGGCATCCAGTGTGCTGAGGAGAGCGACAGCGTGCGCAAGCACCTCCGGAGGCTCGGGCTACGCAGGTGTGTGTGTGTGTGTGTGTGTGTGTGTGTGTGTGTGTGTGTGTGTGTGTGTGTGTGTGTGTGTGTGTGTGTGTGTGTGTGTGTGTGTGTGTGGGTGTGTGGGTGTGTGGGGGTGTGTGTGGGTGTGTGTGGGTGGGTGTGTGGGTGGGTGTGTGGGTGTGTGTGTGGGTGATGCATGCATCGTACGTTGGCGTGCCCTCTCTGTTGGCAGCGTGCGTAGTTGCATGTGTCTCTCCTTCTGCTTCATTCTCTCCAACCGTGCCGTCCCAACTCACACGTCTGTCGTGGATGTGATGTCCTGCCACTTCAGACCATTCCAAGGCCCACTTGGCCCAGGCAGAGGAGATTGTACGTGTGCCTTTGGTGATGGGCACCCCAGAGGCCCTCAAGGGCTATGCCTACACCTTCCCCGCAACCCGTGAGGCCTTCGATCAGGTGCGACATGTGTGCGTGTATGTGTATGTATGGTGTGTATGTATGGTTGTGTGTGTGTGTATGTATGTATGTTGTGTGTGAATGTGGTTATGTGATGTGGGTGGGGACGGTGCGCGCGCAAGAGCATGCGTGTGTGTAGTGTGTGACCCCAAGTGTACGCTTACAGCCCACACGTGTGTGCGCCATGCTCCACAGGCTGAAGTCACGATTGAGCAGTGGCCAACCCTTCCAGGCAGGCGCCCTCTGTGCCCAGACAGCGGCAAGGCCGGCGGCGTGCGAGGTGTGCATGTGTGTGTGTGTATGCATGTGTGTATGTGTGTGTGTGCGAATGCAAGTCGTTTGTACAGTGGGCCAGCTTGTGCGAGCGAGCGCGAATGTTTGTACCGTGAGCCAGTTGATGCGCGAGTGACAGAGTATGTCCGCAACCATCGCTGTGCCTGCCGTGTTCTCGCCGTGACACCCAGTATTTGTTTCCCCCCAAATGCAGAGGGCCTGTTCACGTTCCAGTGGATTGGCGATGAGCTGCGTGCCATCAACGAGGCTGTCGACGGCAACTACGTCACGGGACGCATCTTGGAGGTGCGTTGACGATTCCATTCCAGCCTCATGCACCCCCTTCCTAATGATCACTTGCACACACTCACTCACTCACTCACACACTCACTCGCTCACACACTCACTCACACACTCACTCCTTCTCACACACACACACACACACTCACTCCTTCACTCGCACACACACACTCACTCACTCACTCACGCACTCACTCACTCACTCACTCACTCACTCACTCACTCACTCACTCACTCACTCACTCACTCGCACACACTCACTCACTCACTCACTCACTCACTCACTCACTCACTCGCACACACTCACTCACTCACTCACTCACTCACTCACTCACTCACTCACTCACGCACACACTCACGCACACACTCACGCACACACATGCACCCCCTCTCCTCTCCCCCCAATCGTTCGCTTCGAACCTCGCACACCAGGCCGAGTATGCTCCCCAGGCGGCGCGTGTTGGTGTGGTGACGCGCGAGGCAAACTACCACCCCGACGGCGGCCAGATTGTGTGTCCACGTGATGGCTCGCCCTTTGTCGCGTTGCTTGCTCTCCCCAACGAAGCCATCGCCCCGCAGGACTTTGTTGCCTTTTACTGCGACGGCTCCTTTGGTGCGCTGCTGCTGCTGCCGCTGCTGTGTGTATGCCTGTATGTATGTATGTATGTACGTATGTATGTACGTAAGTATGTATGGGATAGCATGTGAGCAGCTGAAGCTAATGTGCAAACACACACACACACCAACTTCTCAGGCATCCACATCAACACCAATGTGTGGCATCAGCCCGTGTACCCCATCAGCGACACCGCCGCGTTCTATGGCAAACAGGTAGTGTGGCGTGTGCTGAACGCCTTGCTTCCTGTGCTCCTACACACACACACCCTCACTCACTCACTCATGCACACACACACACACGCACACACTCACTCACTCACTCATACACACATGCACACACACACATGCAGGGAGCGGTGCATGCGTGCGCTGCCTACGATTCCGTGGATGAGCACGGCAAGTGGCTGTACGTGCCACTGGACCCGGCACAGGCCGTGCCACTGCCAGGCCACCTGAAGGCCGCCGAGGCATTCTAAGCAACACAACTGCAGACACACATGCGCACACACATGCGCGCAGTCTGTCGATGCATGCCAAGATTGGATGCGTTATGTGCGATGAAGAAGGTCCATCTGTTAGCTCCACCACCAAACCACGTTACCACCAAGCCGCTTGCTCGCTTGCTCAGCGGCTTGTTACATACACCTGCTGCATGATAACACGCGCTGTGCTTGGTAGTTTAATTAGGCGTGGGAGAACGAACCACACACACACACACACACACACACACACACACACACACACACACACACACACACACTCGAAGCGCGTTTGTAACTTATGGGGACCACACGAGAAAAAGACAAGAGTGTGGAGGAATAACAAAAAGGCAAGGGGCAAGCAACTCGAAGTGGACAAGGGGGGGGGGGGGGGGCGAACGAAATCAACAGCAACAGCAGTGCACATTTCTGTATGTGTCTGCGTGATAAACAGATGGGGTATCACAGAGCAGCGTACAGACCAGTCAGCCATGTGTTGAGCACTTGCAGCGGCGGCGGCAGCGGTGGTCGCCACGGATGCACGTCGTGGGTGCGTCGCTGGTGCATCGCGTCGGCACCATGCATGGCGTGGTTTTCGTGTGTCCAACACACACACACACACACACACACACACACACACATGCTTACTTGTGTGTCTGTTTGTCACCTGTCGTTGTCGTGCGCATCCTTTGCGGCCCGTTGCCGCCGGCCTCGCGCGTCCTGTGGGGTCGTGCGCTTCTTGCCTTGGTGCCGACCAAGCATCTCCCGAAACACAGGCAGCTGCGACAGCAGCAGCGTGTATGTCAACACCCACCCCACCGCAATCACACCCAGCACCAAGCCCAGGCTAAAGATGAGCCGAACAGCGGTTGTCGCTGCCACAGACAACAGCTCCCACCACCACATCTTTGTTTTTGCCTGTCGGTCTGTCAGTCAGCAGTTGCTCGTCGAAATTTCATTCACAATTATTTTCTGGCATCATGGACTCGCCAAAGCTCCACACCGTGCTAATGGCAGAGTCTGTGCCACCACGCCTGCGGGAACAGGTCCACGGAGAACCCGGTGGACCCATACGCGACATCGACATCGTTGACGCGCTTCAGCGGGACGAGTGTCGGCCCACGCAGGGGGACGCATTTGTGCACCTCCACGAGGCACCGCAAGACGAGGAGCAGTGGGCAACTGTCCTGCGCACGCTGGGGCCGTGTACGGGCGTGCTTGAGTTTGTCGACATGTTCTTCGACACAGAGGACGGGCAGCTGCGTCGGAACAACCTGTGGTACTTCGACCGCGCGGGCGAACAGGTGCTGAAGCTGAATGCGTCGAGGAACCGTTTCGACTGCCTGTTCTTCGACGCCATCCGTGACTCCGTTGCCATCAGGCGCGAACTGGGCAAGGTGCTGGGCGACCGTGTGGACGACCTGCAGCGCATCGCGGCCATCAAGACGCGGCGGCTCATGTTTGGGCCCGACACGGTGATTGACGTGGCGACACTCCCGAGCAAGAAGAAGCATGTCCTGCTGCGCACGAAGTTTCGTCTCTCCCGCGACCGCGAAGAACCCCCTCATGCGGATGAAGGCACGACTCGCCCCCAATCCATGCGATACGTCAACTCGCGCGTTGTGGAATACCTGCTGGACGCGGGGAAGATCGGGTGTGACCCGTCGTTTGCGCCGCCGAGCAAGCACTATGCGCGCATGCCGCGTGCGATCAAGAAGCTGTGGCGCGAACAGCTGGGGCGCATCGCGAGGGTGCCGACGGATGAACCCCGACTTGAGCCGGTGACCGAGGAGTGGCGCCAATCACGCGAGCGGTACACGGCCGACATCAAGCCTCGACTGGCGGCCCTTCGAGCGAAGCATGGAGACGTGTGGGCGGTGTTTTTCCCGGACACCAGGGATCCAGTGTGCTTTGATTCAGAGCAGGAGGCAGAGGAGCACGCCAGCCAGTGTGCACACGGAGTGCCAATTATCAAGTTCCTTGGCGATGAGCCGGTTGAGGACTCGCTGCTCCTCAACAAGGTGAAGTGCCTGTTTGACCCCAGAAGGCGGCTGTTTGTGGACGTTTAAAATTACTTGCGTCGGCGTGGTGATCTCGGCGACTTCACCCGAATGCGGGCACGCGTCGACACTGGCTGCACGCTCCCGCTGACCCTGCCAGAGAACGCGCTGAAGCACTTCCATTTGGTCACCAAGCTCAAGCCAACGGCCATCCAGACGTTCAACGGCATGGTTGAGGCGTCAAACCACTCAGTTGATTACGAAATCAAGCTCGGTGATCCTGCCAGGCCACAGGCCACCCGTCAACTCAAGGAAATCAGGTCGGCCAACGGTTACCCCTGCGTGTTTGGGATGCCCTTGATTTCACAGTACACCCTGTCTGTGGATCACGGTGAGGGCCGATTTACGTTGGAGAGCGAATCCGAGGATGATGATGCTGATGAGGAATGAAATGGCATGTGATGGTGCGTGTTTTGTGAGCTGGAGGTAGGGGGGAGAACGCTCCCCCAACTCACGAGAGAGCTGACACGTTCTCCATTCCCAGCTGTGACATGGTATCTTACTGCCCCTATCCCCCCACCACACACACAAACTGTCTCTGTCTCTCTGTCTCTCTCATACACTCTCTTCATGTTGTACTTGATCTCCACGCCTTGTTCTCACTCTTTGTTGGATACGCTGCAACCCCTGGGCCTGTTTGTTGAGCTGTGCTTGGCTAACAACCATTAGTAGACAGATCTGCTATTGCAACGGCGGAGAAACAAGCAAACACACGCGCGCACACACACACACACACTCTCTCTCTCTCCTTGTGTTCGTTTTGTGAAGAGGTGAGGAACTTCGTGGTGTGTAATATTACACACGCATACACAACACACATACACAACACACGCGCACACCCCACAGCCACACAAAACCTTGAATCTCCTCTAGGCCTCTCGGCTGGACCCCTAGGACTTTGGTCGGTTAGTTCGCAAGAACGTGGGCTGCCATGGCCCGCTGAAGAGCGTCGCCACCATCCCGGCCATATAGATTGCCGTCAAATGAGACACTACCTTAGCTGAACACATCAGAATGGTGACGTGCTGCGGCCAAACCATCTTGATGCAGCAGCGTGTCCCCTCTCCTCCTCTCCGTGCGGCTGGCGCTCTGGGTGGGTGTTTCTTCCTTCCAAACATCTACAGGCACGGGTATATTTGCTGCCACGTCGAGCGGGAGGAGGTGCGTCAGCATGCCCCGCGTGTATTTGAAACGATCGTTGTCGGCCACGTCCTGTCGGAAAAAAAGCAGCTTTCGAGCGAGCGATCCAGCGATCCGCTGCATGTTGTGTGCGTGTAAGGTAATCTTTCGCAATCTCCAACACCCACAGAAAGGAGAAAGGAATCAGAGGGGAACGAACGGTGAAAGTGCAAGCTTCAATGAACAGAGGAACGGGCAGGAAGCACCAATCGATGGAAACGTCAGAACGTCTGTCTGCGTGTCAGCTCCGCGCTTCAGCGAGAAGGACCGAAAGAGACTGTTGTTGGTTTTGCTATCAGCAGCGCCAAACCTGCGGATTATTGCCAATGTGCCAGCGAATCCTCCCAACTTGCCATGAAGAAGATGACAACAACAGTGGTGAAGGAGGACGCGAGCGTCGTGCTGTGCGACATTGAAGGTGTGCGAGTGCTTTGGGTGGTTTCTTGTGCTCTTGTGGCTGTGTGGTCGTGTGGCGGGAGTAGCTGGTGCGTTGGCACGTCGAGCACTGAATGTTGAGCCTTGCCAACTTGATGCTGTGTGCCCTTGCTTTTGTTAGGCACAACGACGTCCATCAAGTTTGTGAAGGACGTCCTGTTTCCCTACGTGCGCGAGAACCTAGAATCGTACCTCGAGCGAACGTGGGAGACGGCGCAAACAAAGGGCGATGTCCAGGCCCTTCGAGACCAGGTGGGGGTACTTGAGAGGTGAACCAACTACTGAGGCACACGTGTGTGTTGTGTGTGTTGTGTGTGTTGTGTGTGTTGTGTGTGTGCATGGTGTGTGTTGTGCGTGCATTGTGTGTGTATTGTGTGTGTTGTGTGCCTCTGTGTGTTTGGTGTGATGATTTCTCCTCTGTGATCTGTATCCTGTTTTGTTCACGCCCATGTACATGCCCGTGCGTACAGTGGACGGCGGACAAGGCAGCTGGGGTGGAGGGCGCCGTTCCTATTCCAGATGGACACACAAGGGAGGTTCGGGACGCCTGTGTAAAGTCTGTGCGGTGGCAGATGGACAATGACAGGAAAGCCACGGCATTGAAGCAGCTGCAAGGCCACATTTGGAAGGACGCGTATGAAAGCGGCGCCGTCAAGGGCCAGTGAGTCGAGTGGACGTGTTGGTGTGTGTGTGTGTGTGTGTGTGTGTGTGTGTGTGTGCTTGCCTCTGTGCGGTGTGTTTAAATGCGCGTCTGTGCACAAGTGTGTGTGTGTGTGTTGTGCACATTGCTTGTTCGCTTCAAATCACCTCGTCCCATGCACTCACTTTTGCCTGCACCCATGCTCACCCACACACATCAGCGTGTATGATGATGTGCGCCCTGCCATGGAGCGGTGGGTGGCAGATGGCATTCAGGTTCAGGTTTACTCGAGTGGCAGCGTTGCCGCTCAGAAGCTCCTCTTCAAGCACAGTGAAAACGGCGACATGACAAAGGTGCGCGCATGTGTGTGTGTGTGTGTGTGTGCGTGCGTAACTGTACCTGGTGGTTGTTTCGAGCCCTCTTCTCGCTTACGTATATGTTGCCTGGCAGTTGTTTCGAGCCCTCTTCTCGCTTACGTATATGTTGCCTGGCAGTTGTTTCGAGCCCTCTTCTCGCTTACGTATATGTTGCCTGGTGGTTGTTTCGAGCCCTGTTGGCCCTTTGTCTTCCCGCCTTCTTCACGTCGCAACTGCTTGTCTCCTGTGCGTTTTCTGATGGCAGCTGCTGAGCGGCCACTATGACACACGGATTGGCGGGAAAATGGAGGCCGCGAGCTATCGTCGCATCGCGGAGGAAGCAATGACGAAACCAAACTCAATCCTCTTCCTCTCGGACCGCATTGAAGGTGTGGGCAGAGCAAGGGGCAGCCAATCGCTTGAATGCATTGCTTTGTGTTAGCCCCCCTTTCTCTGCGTGTGTGTGTGTGTCGTGTGTGTGTGTGCGCGCGC